ATACTCTTTCTCAACGAGAAACACTCTTGGGTGCGTGAGTCTCTATTCCCGCATTACGCAATATTCTCCCCACTATATGTCCCAGCACCACAGCTCGGCATGCGGTTCTGACCCGCCACCACATGCCACCAGACATGTTTCCCGGACCTTCAGTGCCTTAATCTCCTTCATCCGTCCCACCCCTGGCCTACCAATGTCACCGCATCGCACAGCATGCCGCTAAGTGTTCGCCACCTTCTCCCCCGTGCCACCATCTCCTTAATCCTCTCAATCCCCAACCCCAACCTCCTTCCCAGTGTGACAGGCTCGCGCGACCCCACGTCTGCAGCTCTGCATGTGGTTCTGGGGCACTGCATGCTGTTAAGCGCTCCCCATCTTTCCTCCAACGCCCCCAATCCCCAACCTCCTCCCCACAACAGTGTGACAGGCTCACGCGACCCCACCACGGCAGCTCTGCACGTGGTTCTGGGGCACCGCATGCCTCTGGACGTGGCAAGGATAACAACTTGGAAGGAAGAGGAGCTGACAGGGAAGGAAGGCCAGCAGTCAGAGGAGGAGAAAGAAACACAGCATGTCTCCACAGAGGCACAGGGGCTACGGAAAGAGAGGCAGCAGGCAGAGACGGGAAGTTGGGGCAGTGGAGGCAGTGGGGGCAGGGAGGAAGGGGGTGAAGGACAAGAGCAGCATGTGAGAGGGGGGGCTGTGGCAGGAGCGGGAAGAGAGATGGTTAGGGGGGCTGAGAGTGAGGCGATAGTGACCAAGGGAACGCAGGAGGAGGAGGGGAATGAGGGTGTGGAGGTCCGCTATGCTGCCTCTTTTTTTGGGTACGTTCATGTTTACATTTTGTGCTGTGGTCGAGATTTGTGTGTTTTTTCCTTTCACTCACTGCTGCAAACCCAGTATCGTTCTCTTGATAATCTTCTTCTGCGTCTGCTTCTTCTTGAATTTTTCCCCCAATCAGCTACGGATTCTACGGCGATGTGATTCGCCGCAGCGAGGGGCTCAGGTGGATGGGGCCAGCACGGTACGACTACGCTGGCCTCATGGCGTACCTGCACCACAGGTGGGTGCGGTGCGATGAAGTGCGTGCGGTGTAGTGGGTTGGAATGTGGCTGAATGTTCCAGAATGAGTTGTGTGGTTGCGAGATAACCACTGCAAGTCAATCCAACTCTGCCTATGTCCTCCCTGTTTGTCCACATTCAGCCTCCTTGGCCCATGTGTGCATATCCCATCACCTGTTTATCCTTTGCTTATCCTCCTCTGTCTACCTCACCCCTTTCTCTGCCTCTCCCTCCTCTTCTTATCCCATCCCTTCCTCTTCCCATCCCCGCTCTGCCTATTCCATCCCCTCCACCCATCCCCAGGTCGTACGATGCCCAGGTGTCATACTTTGTCCTGCACTCCTCTGCTGGGCCAGCCCCAGGAGCACCCGGTGAACAGCACAAGCAGGGTGCACAGAGGCTCACCCCTCTCCCTACCCCGTCTCGCCCACCCACCACCAGGTCGTACGATGCCGAGGTCTCATACTTTAACCTGCACTCCTCTGCTGGGTGTTCTCCTTGACCCCACCCCCACACCTTCCTGTTTCCCCCCCCCTCACCCCACCCACCATCAGGTCGTACGATGCTGAGGTGTCATACTTTGACCTGCACTCCTCTGCTGGGCCAGCCCCAAGACCTGCAATCCAAGCGTCCCCTGTCCAAGCAGCAGCTTGGGAAGCTCCCCCTTTCACAGCAGCAGGGTCGGAAGCAGCTGCAGTTGAACCAGCAGCAGGGTTGGGAGAATCCCCATCCCAGGGCGTTCTCGCGCCCCCACTGCTGGCAGCAGCATCACCACTGGAAGCGGGGCCTGTGAGGGGATTAGAGAGGAGCTTCACTGATCAGCTCCCTAGAACGCATGGTCTGGACGATGATGAGGAGGAGGAGGTTGGGGAGGTGGAGGACGGGGAGGAGAAGGTGGGAGAGGAAGTGGTGGAGGAGGAGGGAGGGGTGGGAGGAGAAGGGAAAGGAGAGGTTGAAGGGGGTGGAGAGGGTAAGGGAGTGGGTGGAGGGGACGGAGAGGTGAGGGGAGAGGAGGAGGGGATGCCACTGCAGGCTGTGGAGTGGAACGGAAGGCTGCGGCGGCGCACCTTCAGCAGCCCCATGCTGGTGAAGACACGGTGAGAGGGAGAGAGATGAAAGCTGGAAAGATAAGGTGCAGAAACGGCGGATAAGCACCATTACTGGAGGGCAGGCGCCTGCCTAGGTGTTTTACTGGAGGCGCCTGCCTAGGTGTTTTACTGGAGGCGCCTGCCTAGGTGTTTTACTGGAGGCGCCTGCCTAGGTGTTTTACTGGAGGCGCCTGCCTAGGTGTTTTACCGGAGGCGCCTGCCTAGGTGTTTTACTGGAGGCGCCTGCCTAGGTGTTTTACTGGAGGCGCCTGCCTAGGTGTTTTACTGGAGGCGCCTGACTAGGTGTTTTACTGGAGGCGCCTGCCTAGGTGTTTTACTGGAGGCGCCTGCCTAGGTGTTTTACTGGAGGCGCCTGCCTAGGTGTTTTACTGGAGGCGCCTGCCTAGGTGTGTGGCTGGAGGCGCCTGCCTGCCTAGGTGTGTTTTTTCAAGTGTCAACAATGAGTGAAAGGCTGCTTTACTGTGCTTTAAAGTGTGTGATCTTGGATTAACAGCAGTGATCAATCCTGATCCATAAGTTTCCTGTCTTTTCTTCCTGCATGACTTCTATGTTCGGCACCACCAGCACAAGCAGCAGGCGCAGTATCAGCAGCATGAGGCACAGCAGCTTCCCTGACGTGTGCACTGCGGGATGCACTGTGCACGCCAGCAGCACTGACCTCTCCCAGCTTGCGAACGTTTCAATCACAAACCTTCCCATTCTTTCTTCTGTGTGCCTCTTGCGTGACTCCTGGTATGTTCAGTACCGGCACAAGCAGCAGCAGCATCAGACACGGCAGCATGAGGCGCAGCAGCTTCCCTGATGTGTGCACTGCGGGATGCACTGTGTGCGCCAGCAGCACTGACCTCTCCCAACTCGCACGCTCCTCCCACAGCCTCCTCACTCTCCACAGCTCATCACTCGACCCGGCCCATATCTCTCACAGTCAATCGGGTGCTGCCACGTCAGCACCTGTGGGTGTAGCTGAGCAGGAGGGGCTATTGCAGAAAGGAGGGCAGAGTGGAGAGGGTGTGTGTGCGGTGGGGGGGACGGAGAAGCAGAGTGAGGGGCTGAGGCCCTGTTGGAGGACGGTGCGAGGAAAGTTCCACAGCGTGGGGGCGGCGGTGATGTCGTGCCGCAATGACAAGGCGCCAGATGGCGTCGCGGCACAGGCCCACCTGGCGGACGGCAATCTGCACCTTATCCTCATCCGCAAGTGCTCCCGCCCCGAATACCTGCAGTAAGTTTTTGAGGCGCCTTGAAAACCGACCCGGCCCGAATACCTGCAGCAAGCTCCCGCCATCCTTTGTTCTTCATTTCCATTATTTCCAGGTGCCTTAGCGATGCTGCTTATGCCAGACGCGTGCCTTTTACTTTCTGCTTCCCTTGCTTTCTCGCATCTCCGCACCTCCCACCCCCCAATGGCAGTCAGCTGACTCGGCTTGCCCGCAAAGGGGCCGATCCATTCGCCTTTGACTTTGTCGAAACATACAAGGTACTACAGAACAGTCTCGACTGCTAACAGTATTATTCCCTCAAGAGTGCTAAAAAAATGTCAAAATTCCAGTGTATGCACCTCATCATGCTTGTTCCTTTTCCATCCCACTTTTCCTCACACCCTCCCGTTTGCCCCTGCATTTGTGCTGCATGTGTTCTTATTACCAGACTCCCGCCTTCATGTTCACATCTCATGGGAAGCAAAGCACGTGGAATGTGGATGGGGAGTTGGTGGTCGCCTCACAACTCTCAGCTCAAGTCTTCCGCGGATTAGTCGACATATTTGCCTCTGGACCCGAGTTTTGATTTGGCTACGTAATGAATAGAACGATGTATATAGCTTCTCACGCTTGATAGGGCTATAAATGATTTCACATTAACGTGCTATCTTTCATATGCACATAGTGGTTCCGTATGTTAAATTTCAGGCACTCCTGTCCTATTGGGGAGTTAGAGAATCGTAGCTACAGATACATAATGTGCAACAAATTGTACCGAATCTCCCAGTTCTGCCAACTTCTAGGGCTGCTTGGGATTGTCACCAGAGTTCCCTGATCCACAGATATATATCATGATTCCATACTCCCCCAATACAACCACTTCCTCCGCCATTCCTTCTCACTAGTTTTTCTGACCTAGTCCGGAGCTCGGCCTTTTCGTGGGCTCTCATGTTGTGATTGTAGCTCCAGTCTGGAGTGTTGGATTCCCCTTTACGCTCGACCTGTCCTAACCTGGCCCCCCGTGCCTGTCATTCGCAACTATCAACGCTAGCGATTTCAAATCCGCTGGACGACGATCAGGCATTCGCGTTCCCGCGACTAGACACTCGCATACTGGCGATTGGACACTTAAGGAATTGGCGATTAGGCGTTTTTGCCAAGCGTTGAGACATATTGCAGATCGGTAAATAAAGTATCGCAGAAGCGCGAGCGTTCATTCGCTGCAATGTCGACGACCTACGACGAGCTCGTATCGGCACGGTCTAAATTCGAGGAGCTTATATCGAACATCCTCTTAACAAAGCAGAAACAGATCAAAGCGCTTGAAAGCGATGAGGGTAACGAGACAGCTAAAAACGAGACCGCTTCCGCCGCTCTCGCCGACATTCAGGAGTTTTCAACAGAGGCCTCGGTGATCCTCCTGGATCTACGCCGTCTGAACCGTCAGATCTTAAACGACGAGGAGCGCGTTAAATCGGAGACCGAAGCGGCGCGAGCTCCAGTCGACACGACCGCGCTCCGTCTGCACAATCTTCAGTACAAGATGAACCACCACGCGAGATCGATCGCCGCGTATAGGGATTTCGTTTCGCGACATCCGGACATTGAGCTCGTGAGCGCGCACGACTTCTTTATGGATGCACCGGAGAGCCTTAAATCGGAGCCGGGGTTGGAAAAGGATCCGCACCGGCTGATGCTGCAACGACTCAACTACGAGCTCCATCAGGTACGTTTCAATTTACTGGGTATGCTGGACTAAAAGAAAGGTCTGGTTTATTGGTACGCTAGCGACAGCTGCGAGTTTATACTACGTTCGACGGAGTCGATCCAGCGACGAAAGATCTGACCCCTATCGTTTCGAGCGCCCTTCCATTCTTTGTGTACCCCCAATTTGACTTTTGAGTCGACTCAAAAGTCGCCCTTATTGTTTCAAGCGCCCTTCCATTCTCTGTGTACCCCCAATTTTGCGGAACGAGCTGGTTGGCTTGCAACGTTTGCTCGGACTTCACCAGATTTTATGCGACCCGTATTCAGTATTCTCCCTCTCGTATGCAAATACCACCATTCTACGTTTTTTCCTCCTAATCCAGCGGAAGGAGCTGGTTCGCGCGCGGGAGATGCTGGAAATCCGTCGGCGGACGCTCCAGGAGAGCATCAGCAGCCGGAAAAAGTTTCTGGGCAGCCTTCCCGGGCAGCTGAAAGCCTTGAAGAAAGCATCCGGTCCGCTTCAACAGCAAATGGGGATGCAGCACTCGCGGCGGGTGAAGCAACACCGCTTAGCGTCCCTCCTCCCTCCGCCTCTTTACGTTCTGTACTCGCAATTAGCTGCTCGGAGGGACTCGTTAGAAGAAGCTATCGAGGTGGAAATTGAAGGGAGCGTTAGAGAAGCGGAAGCCTTTGCTGCTATGGTGGAAGAGAGAGAGGCAGCAGCAGCTGCTGCGGCAGCAAGGGGAGGTGGTGAGGAGGGTCAGATGGGGGAGGAAGAAGAGGGGGAGGAGGGAGAAGCGGAGAGAGAGCGGGAGGAAGAGGAGGAGGAAGGGTTGAGGAGGAGGCGGCGAAAGTCGGATACTGAAAACGACGGAGCAGGAGCTGCTGCTGCTGCTGCTGCCGCTGATGGTGGTGGTGGTGGTGGTGATGGGAATGGTGATGGGGGTGGGAACGACGATGGTAACGGTGCTGCTGATGGTGCTGGCGCTGACGCTGCTGTTGCTGACGGTAACGGTGGCGACGGTAGTGGTGGCGGTGGTGCTGATGGTCTGGGTACCATGGGTACTGCTATGGTGGTCAGTGACGGGGGAGCGAAGCAGGCGCAAGTGAATGCGGGGATCGGCGCAGCTGACTTGATCGGCGCTGTGGATTCCCCCCATCCGCTGGTGGTGGTGCTCCGCCTGCTGGACGCGCGGGGGAGGGCGGAGCGGGGGAACGCGGAGGCTGTCGGGCAGGGCGGGGAGCGCGGGGCGGAGGAGGAGGAGAAGGAGAAGGAGAAGGAGAAGGAGAAGGAGAAGGAGAAGGAGAAGGAAAAGGAGAAGGGGAAAGAGAGGGAAAAGAGCAAGGCGAGAGACAAGGAAGACGGCCAACAGCCCGCGCTGCTAGTGCTCCGCTTCGAAATGCTCTGGAACCTCGGGGTCATCTGCGTAGGCCCTGTCGAATCCCAATCCCCGCCGCTCCTCCCCCCCTCCTCCTCCTTCTCCTTCTTCCCCACCCCTCCCACAACCGCCCTCCCCCCGTCCCCTCTCTCCCTCCACACTCTCCTCACCAACCTGTTCCCGGAGGACTCAGGCCTTCTCTTCCCGAATATGGCTAAGGAGCCGTTGGCAAGGGAGAGTGGGTTTGTGGCGGCTCTACCTGCGCGCCTCTCCCGCCCATACTACTGGGCGCAGCTCATGTGTGGCCTGGATTTCCTCCCGCCCCTTCCCCCCTCCTTCCTGCTTCCCTCTGGCTCCTCTGCCGCTGCTGGTGCGGCTGATGCTGGTGGTGCTGCTGGTGGGGGTAAAGGTGATGCTGGCACCTCTGCCGTTGCTGCTATGGAGGTCGATGCTTCTGCTGCCGCCAGTGCTAGTGCCGCTGCCCCCACTGCTCCTACTCCTGCAGGCACGGCAGTGGCAGCGGCGAGAGAGGGAGGGGCAGCGGAGGCAGGGCCGGGGGGAGCACGGGCACAGCTGCTGGAACGGCTAGAGGCGTTCAGGGAGGAGCGGCGGCTGGGGCGAGTGCTGCAGGCGATGAGGGAGCGAGTGACGGCCGCGAGAGAGCTCAAGTGAGTCATGTGAGTGCCTGGAGGGGGGGGGAGAAATGATGAGCGGACGGGTATGATGAGTGCCTTGGGGGGGATGGGCAGAGGCGTGTGAGTGTTGGGGGAAGTGTCCAGTGGGACCTGAGTGAATTGGGGGAGTGAGCAGAGGCGTGTGAGTGCAAAAGTGTGTGTCCAAAATTTTGCGCATTTTTCTTACTCTTTGGAATACCTGGTAGCACTGTTCCCGAAACCCTAAAAACCATTTTCTTAACCATAATTGCTTCTCCACCTCTCATTTTTCAGTACCTCCTTCCTCCCTATATCCACTTTTTCGTCTTCCACCGTCACTTGTGACTGTAGTGCGGTTCTCTCCTCCCTCGTTACAAGCAGACTCCCCACAATCACGCCTTCCCATGCCACTGTCGGCCCCTACTCCTCCGGGCCCTGGCCAGAAGATTCCGGGTACCTTCCCCAATGCTCCATTCTGAGCTGGCAGCTTCTCATTGGCCCGCTGGGGTTCCCAAACGCCAAGTGTAGCAGCCAGATTGGGGGAAAGGCTGAAGAGGGGGATTTGGCTAGTGGGAAGGGGGGGGAGAAGAGAGGGAAGGAGAGGCGAGGGGAGGGGAGGAGCGAGAGGGAGGGGGAGAAGGATAGGAGTGACATGAAAGGAGATGAGAAGAAAGGGGAAGAGAAGAAAGGGGATGAAAGGAAAGGGGACGAGAGGAAAGGAGACGAGAAGAAAGGGGATGAGAGGAAGGGGGAGAAGGGATCAGGGGAGGATGGATCGTCTCGCGGCCGAGGAGAAGGCATAGGAAGAGGGAAAGGTAGAGACGAGGCTGCCGGGAGGCTGGCTGTGGGTGGATTTGGAAGAGAGAGCAGTTTGCCAGTTGGTGGGTTGGGAGGAGAGGGTGGTTTGCTGCCTGGTGCTATGCTTGCCCAGGCTCTGGTGATAGCACAGCGGAGGAGATTGGGTGGACTGGCCGGTGCAGTAGGGTTGGGAGGGGTGGCAGGGCTGGCAGGGATAAGTGAGCTTGAAGGGGGGTCAGGACGGAAGGGGGAGGGCGGGGGGAAGAAGCGGGAGAGTGAGGGGAAGAGCAGCGGCAGGGAGAGGAGGAGCAGCAGGGAGGGCAAGGAGAAGAGCGATGAGGATGGAGAGAAAGGGAGAGGGGGAGGGAGTAAGCGAGAAACTGAGGGTAAAGCACCAGCATCAGGAGCCATAGCAGCAGCAGCAGGAACAGAAGCAGCAGCAGAGGGACCTGCAGGGGACGGGCAGGGCAGGGGGGGCAGCGGGGGGAGTGGGGGGAGTGGGGGGAGTGGGGGCGTGGAAGGTGGGGAAGGCGTGGAGGGGGTGGTGTGGGTGGCGTTGCCGTGGTCGTGGGCGGCAGCACATGGTATCCATCCGTCCACCCCTGCTGCTGTCTCCTGGGAGACTGTCCTGGGGGCCGGTGCCTGTGTGTATGAGCTCATTGTGAGGGGCGCGGGGGGCGGAGGGGCCGGAGGGGGTGGTGGAAGTGGTGGGAGTGGAGAGCGGAAGGGGAGGAAGGAGGAGGGCGAGAGGGGTGTGTGTTACCTGCAGGCACTGGTATGTGAACTTTTGTTGACCATCACGTTTCTGATTTGTTTTTTCTCGGCATTCCTCCATATGTCATTTCCTCCATTAGTCATTTCCTCCAGAAGTCATTTCCTCCATAAGTCATTTCCTCCATAAGTCGTTTCCTCCATAAGTCGTTTCCTCCATAAGTCGTTTCCTCCATAAGTCGTTTCCTCCATACATCATCTTTGGCCTGCCCCTTTGCTCCCTGCCCACCGGCGCGCGTCCCATCAGGTCGTCATCTATCCTGATTTCCCTCGCCGCCCTCCTCTCTTCTCCCTCCACCTCCTCTCCCCGACCACTTCATCTGCGCATCAGCAACCCCTCCTCCCCTCCTCCACTGCCCAAGTCACACTCACCCCATCTGCATCACCCCCCTCCTCCCATGCCTCCTCACTGCTGGATGGGCTGTTTTCTCTCGAGTCCGAGGTAAGCACTTTCACCCCCTTTCTGTGCCTTGCTCCTCTCTCCCTTTTTTCTCCCCACCCCCGTCCTTTCTCCCATCGCCCTTCCCCTTTCCTAAGTGAACTACAATGGCTGAGCTCCTGTAAAGGCCTGCGCTTGCATCAGTTTAACCACCACACCCGCTGCTGCTGCCATGTTCAGGTGAACATGGGGAGCATGGGAAGTGCAACAAGCCCTCCATCCTCATACCTGACTCCAGGTCTCCTTTACCACCAGCTGCGCCACTTGTTGAGGGGATTCGACATGCTCTTGAGCTCGGCCTCAGATCTTACAGTCGCCTCTGGGAGAATGGGTTATTTAGCAAGAGGGTTTAGAGGTCGTAACAGGGAGTGCATGTTGTGAGGGCTGCGCTGGGACCTAGAGGGTTCTCTTTGAAATGAGAATTTCAGTACTGCCTTTTTTGCATCTGTGCATTGCTGTGAGTGCTGCACTGCATTGCTAGTACAGAAGTTTCCGTCTAGGGGGCACAGACCACTATAAGGTTCCTTGAGATTGAACTTGCGCTTTCACACAAATTGCAACGAACTTAACAATATCTGCTCTTGGTGGATACGAAGATTTTTGCCCCGATGCCGAGAGATGGCGAATGTACAATTGCCACGTGGTTTCTCTTATCACGAAGGCAACGCACGCTCGTTAAACAAATATATCGAATCATAACAATGCATGTCATCATCATTCCCAGCTGACACATAGCGCACTGCCAATGTCCTCACCGGCAAATTTGGGCAAAGATCATACTAGGGCCTAAAAATAGCAGAGACGTGGTCGAAGTAGGGCCGGGTGTGACGTACCCCTAGTACGCGGGTCCAAAGCTGCCCAAGCCCCTAACCAGACAGCCCGAGCCAGGCCTACGTGTCACATCATCCCCCAAAAAAAAAAAATGTTGACGGATTTCGCTAGTACCCCTAGCGATATCCAACCCAGTAAACACCAACTTGATTTTGTGGTAGTCGCCCTTAATATTAGATTTTAGCCTTAACGTATTATCGCATTGACGATTAAAAATATTACCCTTAACTACAGAATTTCTTCGAGGAGGAATCAACCCTAAACACCATGCGACAAGGCGTTTCGGGTTTTAGTATTTCTGCGCCATTGCTTCCCAAAGACTGGTCTTTTAATGAAAGGTCTCTAGATCTAAAAGTTTTCATCGTTTGTTCGCTGCCCAGATATAAAAACATTTCTGACGGAATGCTTCTGCTCAGTTCTCGTCAGACAAAATTCGGTCACTTATTGACGAAGCGCTTGGGTGAGGCAAGAAGTTGGTTAGGGCTAGTTGCGGCCCAGGTTCGACACTTTGCGACACACCCGGCCCTACTTTCGCCACTTCTCTGCTATTTCTCGGCCCCAGTTTGATCTTTGCCCGGCAAATTTCTCCAAGCAATCTCTCGACCCACTCTTCGCGCCAGTCTCCCGAAAGTTGCGGATTGATTTTCTCCCTTTCCAAGTTCCACCACTGCTTGCGTCATTTTTGGGATCTCCATTCCACCTCACTCCATCTCACTTCACCTCGCTCCACCTCGGCTCACTTCCGCTTGGCAATGACGAGGATTCTAGTTTTGTTGAGCTTTCCACAATAATTCATTAACCCATGGTTATTTTTCATCGTACTGTCTAGTTTTCACAGCACCTCACTCTCATCCAACGTCAGGTCTCTGAATTGGGCGAGGGAGTTGAGCAGTCATCGGTCATCTTGTCTCCATTCCTCTATTTGTACGCGTATTAGACTCGTTGAATTAAATTTTGAAGCCATGGCTGCCCTCACCAGCTCCCTCTCCTCAATGGTGGCCACAACCGCGTTTTCCGCGAGTGCCGCGTCATCCAGGGCTCTTGCCAGCTCAGCCGCTATTTCGGGAACTCCCGTCCTGCGCTCCGCTGCTTCCGTCAGCAAGCGTGCACCGGCCGGCAAGACTAACGGTTCCGTCAGGTGCTCTGCGAAGCCGTCGGCTTCCAACGACGAGAGCAACCGAGCCTTCGCTTTGAGATCTTTCCGCGAGAAGAAGGCTTTCAAGGTGTGTTTTTTAGGGAAAGCTGCTCATCAGTACCACCTTCGTACATATTAACACATTCGTGACACATCAGTACCAGAGGTCCAGAAAAGTTTGTCGTTGTCGTTGTCGTTCGCTCGTTGTGAGGATCGTGCACTCACGTCTCACGTGGTGAGAGAAGAACACCTTTTTGCCACAACCTCAGGGGACTGTTTGCATGTCTGAGTCGACTCAGAAGTCAGCTTGATCGTGGCATCACTCCCTTTCATGAACCGTTTTTCCCTTCATCTTCTCTGTCGTTTCTGGTATTTCCAGGCCATCGCAGGACTCGACAACTTCAACGCCGACTCTGTTGCCGCTGTCGTCTCCGCTGCTGAGAAGGTACGCAACGCCTGTCCAACACGTCTTTCCTCATTACGATTCTTCAATCTATCCCATCCCCCACTTCCCCCATCCTCCCTTTCCCCATCCCCTCCTTACCCCGATGTGCATCGTCTATTTCACATTGGTTTCGCTCCGTTTCAGTCGCTCTTCCACCCGCCGCTTTCCATGGCTGGATCCTAAATCTCTATTGCCGCGTGCTTCTCCCCTCACCCCGCATCTACTCGCTCCGTTCATCCTCGTCGATTCACGACCCTGTCTTTCCCGCATCCATCCCCTTCCAATACTCGCAGGGAGGGGCCACGGTAGTCGACATTGCCTGCGATGCAGATCTCGTTCGCATCGCCCGCTCCCTCACCTCTCTCCCTGTAAGCCCTCCGGCGTCAGTGTCTCTCCCTGACAAAATCTCGCCCGCTCCCTCATCGCTCTCTCTGAGAGCCGTTCCAGGCATGAATGTACCCCTGTATGTATGTGTGTGTTCTTATTTCCCCTGTTTGTCAAAATCCGCCTCCTTCTCCCCTCAACCCCTATATGGTTTCGCCCTGGCCTGTTCCTTCCTCACCTTGTCGTTCTTCTCCCTGCCCTGTCCCTCCCTCCCTCTGCTTTCTCCCTTCTCGCTTCCATGCTCCTCCCTCGCGCGGTCGATCAGATCTGCGTGTCGGCAGTCGAACCCGAGAAGTTCGTCGAGGCAGTTGCTGCTGGCGCGCACATGGTGAGTCAGTGTCATTGACTACGATTAGAGATCACATGATACGGCAATCAAGCCACGGGGAAAACGTGGTCATCCGGCAGTGCAAGCAATCACACTCCAGCCTGTTCACTCGTGCGCTTGGAGGTTTTCCCCCTCGCTCCAATCTAATCTCTTCATCTCCCTTCGATTCCACGTGGCAGATCGAGATTGGCAACTTCGATTCGTTCTATCCTGACGGCCGGGAGTTCACCGCAGAGGAGGTAAGGCGGGGCTGTGCGAAAGAGTTTTTTTATTTTCAATAGCAACGGAAGTAAGGCACGGGCTTTTTAGAAGCCTCTAGAATCGAGTTCACTGCGGAGGAGGCTAGGTTGTGCCGAAGAGCTCGTATCTCAAAATCCTAGGGAGACAAGGCACGGGTGTGCCTCAGAGTAGATAAAAACCCAAAATATCAACACAAACCAGCGGATTAGGGCGCTGCCGAAGGCTCATCAGTGTAGGTGGAGAACGGTGGAAAAAAGGCTTCGGATGATGTGGATGCATGATATGACTCGACTCGGAGCCACGGAAGCAGGCCTGTACTGTCGCGTCAGTAAGCGCCGTTAGAGTTTCGTCAGGGATTTTGAGTTCCGTCACGAATATAGAGTTTCTGGAAGCAGGCCACATCCGGGAGTGAAAGCTGGGCGGGGTAACAAAGCATGGAGAACGACGAGAGGAGGCGAGAGCGACGGGGTGGTATGGATGAAGAGCATGAGCAAGAAGGTCGTTTAACTTCGGGTAGAAGGAGACGCCGCTTGTTTGCATGATACGGGGCGTGGGCGCAGTTATCCTGATTTTCGTCCCTCTCGTCGCCATCGCTGCAGGTTCTTGACTTGACTCGTCGCACTCGCCAGCTGCTCCCCTCCATCGCGCTCTCCGTCACCGTTCCCCACACTCTGCCTCTGCCCGAACAGGTAATTTCTCCCTCAGCCTGCACCTTTCCAACCACCCCACCCATCCCGTCCTCCTTCCCTCCGTCTCCATCCATTTTCAGTCACCGTAGCCCACATTCTGGTACTTCTGGTGCTGCTGATTCCCTCCTCCCTTTTTTCCCCGTTGGCCCTTCCAACCATCCCTCTCATCGACCCCTCCTTCCCTCCCTCTCCATGCAATGCGGTCACTGGGTCGCACCCTCTGCTTCGTCCAGTGCAGCTTACTCCCTGCTCCTTTTCTCCCCGTCTCAAGATTCCAACCACCCATCCCATCTCGCCTTCTTTACCCAGGCCCCAAATTCGCTATGCCAATTTTCAGTCATGCCCTTTTCCAGTTAACCCCATCCCTTCGTCCCAGCCCTATCTTCCCGAATTCCTCCCATCCAATCAACCCTTCCATGTATCCATCCCTTAGCCCCTCTATAACCTTTATCATCATACTTCATACTTCATACCCGCATTTCTCCCCGCACTTCATACTTGTCTGCTGCCATCACCTGTCAACTGCCCTCCATCTACCCTCTGTCCCAGACAGACCTATGGCATGCCATCTCACCCTCTCACCTCCCATCACCCTTCCCTTTCGCGTCATACTCCCCTCCCACTCCCTGCTCGTCCCCCTCCCACTCCCCTCTCGTCCCTCTCTACTCCCCTCGTCACTCCATACAGGTCGCTCTGGCAGAGGCTCTGCAAGAGTGCGGCGCTGACGTCATCCAGACTGAGGGCGGAACCAGCTCAGCAGCTTCCTCTGCTGGCGTTCAAGGGCTGGTGGAGAAGGTGGGTGATTAATTAAGCCGTTTCTCAACTGCCGAGTTTTCACCACGGTTCCCATTTCTATCGTGTCAACATTTGCCGTTTGCTCCATGCTGCTCCTCTGTTCTCCTGTTTTCCATTCTTTTCATCCCTCCACCAAACAAACCCCACCATCCTAATCCAGTACTCGTGCCATCACCATGTCGTGAATGTGTGTCTGTCCTGAAAAGAGTCTCTCTCACCTCCCAAAGCAGCCATAGCCCTAATATCTGCCCTTCCTCTGCCTCTGCTTCCCCTTCCCCCCTCCAGGCCACCCCCACAATCGCAGCTACCTACTCCATTGCCCGTGCGGTCACCATTCCAGTCATGTGTGCCTCTGGCCTCAGTGCTGTCACTGTTCCTCTTGCCTTCGCTGCTGGTGCCTCTGGAGTGGTATGTCTGCTTCCTGTATTATTTGTGTGTGTTTTTCTTGTTTTCATTTGCTTTGCCCCGCTCTCTTCCTTATCTACGAAAGAACTTATGCCTCTAAACCACAAACCATTATTCCCTATGCTACTCTCGCAGGGTGTTGGGTCTGCCATCAACCGCCTGAATGAGCCGATTGCGATGGTGGCAGCTGTTCGTGAAATTGCAGATGCGGTGAATAGCCAAGTCACTGAGAAGAAGGCAGCTGCCAGTGGTGCTAATAATTGAAAACTAAGACTATGGTAACATCTGGGCCATTTAGACTTGAAATAGGTAAAGGAAAAGCAGTGCCAGCGAAGCCCTTACTAGTGAAGCTTTCTATATCGCAATGCATTGCAACTCGCTGATGCACACAATCGATATACGCACATTAGGTTACGAACCTGGCAGTTTGCAGTGACACAGGTGAAAATCGGTTGGCCAGTTTTAGCACGACGTTCAACAAACGTGGCAGGGATAAAACCGAACCAAATTTGACGAAGCGATTGGTCGTAAACCGTGGCTCGGCATGGGTATATCCCGCCGAGCCTGAATGACTCCAACTTCCGACCAGCAGTGATCAGCCTCATCATTTGGGAAACAGTCACACCCAGGCCCTGAGTCCTGCCGGACCTCTCTCCGAACCTTGGTTCATCATACTGCAGCCTCGCCTCATGATACCTCCGCTCTGGAGGCCTCCCTGGCCCTTGGGATTGTCATCATCTCCCTGATCCTCTCTTCCGCCACGCCACACTCCGCTTGCCTCCCTCTCCCTTGAGATTCCCCGCACCCCCGCTTCCGCGTCTGCTCTGCACCGCAAACGCGCTCGCGCCACCTTTGTCCTGACCTGAGCCTAGATGATCATCATCTTCCGCGCGCTCCTGGGGATCATCATACCTCTCCTCCTGTTTTCCCTTGCTCATCATCGCTCTGCCTTACCCGTGCGATCGCTGTGAGGAAAACTACAAACCCTAGCCGACGGCACTGATAGCCCTCCAGCAGGACAACTGCAACAAACCACTCAGTGCGACTGCTGGAATCATTATTTTCTTGAACACTGAACCGCCACTTTCTCAACACCACTGGTCCAAGCAGCGTCATCAGAGGAACCCCCCGTCCTTTCTTCCAAGTCAAAGCGGTTAGGGAAAGTGCATATTAGGGAAAGCGTAAGAGATACGAGTAGGAGGAGGGTTATAAAAGCGTAATGGTGACGTCGGCGGGAGGAGCAGGGCAAGGGCAAGAGAAATCGCATGAAAGCGGCGAGGATAAGAACGAGAGAGAGCAGGATGAGGAGGGAGATCAGTATCCGGGCAATGACGGTCCCGCGGAGGGAGGAAAATACGTTAGATACACGAGCGAACAGGTGGAGGTGTTGGAGAAAGTCTATAAGGAATGTCCGAAACCCAGCTCCGTCCGGCGGACGCAGCTTATCAAAGAGTATCCCGTGCTCTCGAACATCGAGCCGAAGCAGATCAAAGTCTGGTTCCAGAACCGAAGGTATTAAATATTTACTGCGGAATTTTAAGACGTCGTTAGCGTTTTTTCAGGTCGAGCACGGGTGGCCTCCGCATTCTCGTTTTCGAGCCTCCTGAGCCGCTTCAAGCTCCTCGTTGAAAAGGCCGAGACCGGAGCTGCATTTTGAGAAAATTATTCCTCGTTGCGTCTGCTTACTTTCATGGAATTGACATGAGACAAAGCTCTGTAATTTCGAATCGTTCTCACACGCGTCAGTCGGTGCGCTTTCGACGTCGGAACCCGAGCAATTCCAGATAGCAAGAGCCTCAAAGTCGCCACATTGTTCCCTGTTCGGCAAGCAAACCGAAGCAAACCTCTCGACCAGCTTAATCTCCTTCCCGATGCGTAACCCCGTCAAGTCCTGTAACACTTTCTCCCTTTCGCAACCCGCAACCCTGTAACCCGCTCCCGCTCCAGATGTCGCGAGCGGCAGCGGATGGAGTACAGCCGGCTGCAGAGCATGAACTCGCGCCTCTCCGCGCTCAACAAGCTGCTCGTGGAGGAGAACGAGCTCTCCACGCGCAAGATCTCGCAGCTCACGCTCGAAAACATGCTCCTGCGACAGCAGGTCGCACGCCTGGAAGCGTCGCAGCAGCTCGGCGGACCACAGCTCGGCGGACCGTCGCCGGGGTCTGTAGCTGCGGCCGCCGCCGCAGCTGCTGCGGCTGCGGCAACCGCGGATCCGATGAAGCTCCCCGGCGCTGCTGCTGCTGCTGCTGCGGGAGGACCTGTTCCCGGCATTCCCACTGCTGTAAGCGTTTGAGCTCCTTTAGACTCAAGTTCTGCAGCGGGGATAACTGCTCTGTGGCTACTCGTGCCGCCGTCCATCGCTTAGCTGTTCCGCACTCTCCTGCCATACCCTCTCCCAACCCAACCCGAAACCATTCCCACCCAAATCCCTCTCTCTCCCTCGCCGTTCTCTCAACCCCCAGCTCGTCTCATTCCCGCTCTCGTTCTCTCCCCCCTCCCCTGCTCCCCCTCCTTCCCCCCCATCCCTTGGCATCAGCCGGTTCTACCCCCCGGAATGCACCCGGGTCTGCCCCTGGGTCAGCCAGACATCTTTTCCCAGCTACGGGCAGCTGCGCTAGGAGGGGTAGGAGGTGTGGGAGGAGTGGGAGGGGTAGGAGGGGTAGGAGGGGAGTTTGGCGGAGGGGCAGCAGCTTTAGACGTGCTCAAGCAGAGGCAACTGGGAGCGGCACAGCAGCAGCAGCAGCAGCAGCAGCAACAACAACAACAGCAACAACAGCAACAGCAGCAGCAGCAACAACAACAGCAACAGCAACAGCAACAGCAGACACAGCAAGCAGAGCAGCAGCAGCAGCAGCAGTTGCTCCCAAGGCTGGGGTTTGCAGGCACCAATCTGACATCAGACTCTGCTGTCACGGGCTCCAATCCTGCCGGCGACCCTGGCGCCTCTGGGTGCGTCTCCTGCCCTCTGATTCTTATGTTCTGCCTCTCTGCCTGCCGGCCTGCTTGCCCGCCTGCCTCCCTGCCTCCTCCATCCATCTTCCCTGCCTTCTCCGTGCCTCCTCGCTGCCTCCATTTCTCTGCACTCCTCAACCCGGCCCAGTCTGCTAACCATAGAGAAGCAAATCTCCTTGCAACCCCGTCGTCCACTTGTGACCCGGTTCCTTCTTGCCTCCTGCTCTATTACCTGCCCCTTCCCTGCCCTTCCCCTGCCACCATTCCTTGTGCCCCGTTTTTCCCCTTCCTCCCTCCCTCCCTCCCTTCCCCCACCTCCCCACGCCCTTCCCCCCCCCGTCCCCGTCTCCCTCTAGCCCTCAGCCCCCCAGCCTGCTACCCATAGCAGAGCAAATTTTATCCGAGTTCCTGGCCATTGAGGTGTATTTTGAGGCGCCTCAATGGTCAACGCCACTGGCACGTCCATGGACTTCTCATGCCCCTGCCACTTCCCTGACCGTTCCCATTCTCCTGCCCCCATGCCTTGTCTCCCCGTGTTCCCTTCACCCCCGCTGCCCTCCAGCCTGCTGCCCATAGCGGAGAAAATCCTGTCCGAGTTCCTGGCGAAGGCCACTGGCACGTCCATGGACTTCGTTGAGATGCCGGGCGTCAAGGTGAGACGAGGGGGAGGGGTGGTGGAAATTATGGTGAGAGTGGGGGAGGAGCCGGGAAGAGGGGAAGTGGTGTTCGTAATTTATATGTTGAAGGCCACTGGCACGTCCATTGACTTTGTTGAGATGCCGGGAGTCAAGGTGAGACAAAGGCAAGGTCATCATCGCATGTGGAGGGTTGAGACGTCTCAATACTTCTCTCTTTTGCTCTGATTTCCTCACTCATCCCCCCCTGGCAGGTCGGAGCCGGCTACATAGGCAAGGTCACCATCGCATGTGGAGGGCCTGGTGTTGCAGCTCGGGCGGCTGGCCTCGTCCTGCTGCCGCCCAGCAAGGTGAGTTTGAGTGTTACCTGTTCAAGCAGCCCTGGAAATCGTGAATCTCTCCCGCATGCCCACATATGGCTGTTCTGTTTCTAATCCACTGGGTCACACACAAAGTTACAGCACTCAACCGGCAGTCCTATCCCCTCCAAGCAGCAGAGCTTCTCAAGGTTCGGGTGGTGTGTGTAAGTTCCTTGCCTCGAGGCACTATCTGTCCATCCTTCCCCTCTCATTGAGATGACTTTTGAGTCGACTCAAAAGTCACCTCACTATCTGTCCATCCTTCCCCTCTCATTCGCCGCTCTCATCCGCTTGTCTCTCTCCCAACCCTTGCAGGCAGCAGAGCTGCTAAAGGACTGAGTGGTGCGGCTGAGGGAGTGCCGCTGCTGTGACATGTGTTGGGGGAGCCGTGCATCTGACTCTCAATCCGGACCTCCTATCTCCATTCTCCCCCATCCGTCCTGTCCCTCTCACAATACCCCTTGCAGGCAGCAGAGCTGCTTAAGGACCGAGTGGCGTGGCTGAGGGAGTGCCGCCGCTGCGACGTGCTGGGGGGCTTCCGCACGCCCAATGGGGGCACTGTTGAGCTCGTCTACACCCAGGTAGGCTCATATACACGCCCAGGTGGGCTCAGGTGAATTTTCAGGTGCGGTCGCTGAGCAATGCGCATGGGGGCGCGTCCATGCCAGCAGTGCCGTCGTTTGTGCCCATCTGCTCCCCTTCCCCACTGCTTTCCTGGCCCCCTGCCCTGTGCCCTCCTCTGCCCTTCCCTGTCCCTCTTTTTCCTTTCCAGATGTACGCTCCAACCACGTTGGCCCCTCCGCGTGACCTCTGCACTTTACGCTACACCTCCCTCCTAGAAGACGGCGTGGTCATCTGCGAGCGGTCGCTCAGCAACGCGCATGGGGGCGCGTCCATGCCGGCTGTGCCGTCGTTCGTGCGAGCGGAGATGCTCCCCAGCGGCTACCTCATCCGCCAGTGCGACGGGGGAGGCTCCGTCATCATTGCTGTTGACCACCTCGACCTACAGGTGTGTCTCTCCCCCTCCTCCCTCGCTTCCCGCTCTCCCTCCTCCCTCGCTTCCCGCTCTCCCTCCTCCCTCGCTTCCCGCTCTCCCTCCTCCCTCGCTTCCCGCTCTCCCTCCTCCCTCGCTTCCCGCTCTCCCTCCTCCCTCGCTTCCCGCTCTCCCTCCTCCCTCGCTTCCCGCTCTCCCTCCTCCCTCGCTTCCCGCTCTCCCTCCTCCCTCGCTTCCCGCTCTCCCTCCTCCCTCGCTTCCCGCTCTCCCTCCTCCCTCGCTTCCCGCTCTCCCTCCTCCCTCGCTTCCCGCTCTCCCTCCTCCCTCGCTTCCCGCTCTCCCTCCTCCCTCGCTTCCCGCTCTCCCTCCTCCCTCGCTTCCCGCTCTCCCTCCTCCCTCGCTTCCCGCTCTCCCTCCTCCCTCGCTTCCCGCTCTCCCTCCTCCCTCGCTTCCCGCTCTCCCTCCTCCCTCGCTTCCCGCTCTCCCTCCTCCCTCGCTTCCCGCTCTCCCTCCTCCCTCGCTTCCCGCTCTCCCTCCTCCCTCCGTCCTTTGTGCGAGCGGAGATGCTCCCCAGCGGCTACCTCATCCGCCAGTGCGACGGGGGTGGGTCTGTCATCATTGCTGTTGACCACCTTGACCTGCAGGTGAGCCCTTCTCTCATCTCTCACTCCTTCTGTACCTCCCCTCTCCTCTTCTCTCTCCCCGCCCTCTCTTCCTCATCTCTCTGTCATAGGTGCTCTATCCGTCATCTGCCGTCCCTTTCTCCCTGCCCTTTTAAACCCTTTGCCTCATTCCTGCAACCCACCACCCCTCGCCCGCTCTCCGGCACTCCCACCACCAGGCGTCTAGGACGGGGTTAAAGGAGTACCAAGGAGATGCTGCGGCCACTCTACCAGTCGTTCCTGTAGGACCTGTAACCCCGTCCTAAACCCCTACTCTTCCCTCTCCCCACCTCCTCCCTCTCCCCACCTCCTCGCTCTCCCCACCTCCTTCCACCCACCGCTCCCCTGCACGCGTGCCCGAGGCGCTGCGGCCGCTGTACCAGTCATCCTGGTTTGGCCTCTGCAAATCCCTTACCCCCCGCTGCCAACCCCTCCCCCCCGCCCGCCCACCCTCCCACCTCTCCCCTGCACTCTCGCCAGGCGTCCAGTGTACCAGAGGTGCTGCGGCCACTCTACCAGTCGGCGGCAGCGCTGGCACACCGCATGACCATCGAGGCCCTGCGCTACCTGCGCAAGGTGGCCAACGAGGGGTCGGGAGGCAGGGCCGAGGCCACCAGTGAGGCCACCTGTAGCCCCTTCCGAAACCCCCATTCCTCCCTCTCCCCACCTCCTCCCTCTCCCCACCACCTCCCTCTCCCGCTCTCCTCCCTCTCCTGCTTCCTCCCCCGCTCCACTTCCCTCCCACCAGGCGTCCAGTGTACCCGAGGTGCTGCGGCCACTCTACCAGTCGTCGGCAGCGCTGGCACACCGAATGACCATCGAGGCCCTGCGCTACCTGCGCAAGGTGGCCAATGAGGGGTCGGGAGGCGGGGCGACGCCACCAGCGGGGAGGGCGGGGCGGCGGGCAGCAGGGCTGAGTCGGGGCGGCCGCAAGACCGGCAGCTGACAGCGTGGCGCGCGATCGCAGAGCGTATCGCCATGTGAGTGGGATGAAACAAATGTTCATGGGAGTGAGGTGAGAGCAGGAAGTGGTGGGTGGGGAGAGCGGCAGGCAGCGTGGCGGAGTTGGGGCGGCCGCAGGATCGGCAGCTCATGGCTTGGCGAGTATTGCCATGTGAGAGTGTTTGTGGGAGTGAAATGAGAGGTTGGACAGGTGCGGGGGGGGGGGCAGGCAGCAGGGCGGAGTCGGGGCGGCCGCAGGACCGGCAGCTCATGGCTTGGCGAGTATTGCCATGTGAGAGTGTTTGTGGGAGTGAAATGAGAGGTTGGACAGGTGCGGGGGGGGGGGGCAGGCAGCAGGGCGGAGTCGGGGCGATGCAGGACCGGCAGCTCATGGCTTGGCGCTCGATTGCAGAGCGCATCGCCATGTGAGTGGCAGGAGATGTTAAGTGTTTTTGGGAGTGGAATGAGGGAGAGTGGGCAGAGGCATGTGAGTGGGTGGGACTGTGGGAGGTACCAAGGCAGCGAATGGGTTCATAGACGATGGGAGCGAGTAGATGCCTTGGGACTGCAGGCTGCAGATGCCTGGTTTGCTCTAGCTGCCTTGCACCAAACCACGCTCTTCTCCCTTCCCCGCCCTACCCATGCAAGCAGGGGTTTCAACGAGGCAGTGAATGGGTTCACGGACGATGGGTGGGAGCAGATGGCGGGAGATGGCATGGATGACGTCACTCTTGCTGCCAGAGCCACTGGCGCCGGGGGCAAGGCCGCAGGGGGGATGGGGGGAGGGGGAGATGCGCCTGGGCCTGTGGGCGGGGGAGTGCTGTGTGCCAAGGCATCCATGCTGCTGCAGGTGGGCTCACTCGTGGGTTGGTGCTGCTGCAGGTGGGCGTGTGTGTGCTGCTGCAGGTGGGCGTGTGTGTGCTGCTGCAGGTGGGCGTGTGTGTGCTGCTGTAGTTTTACTCCCTTTCCTTGTACCCGCATGCAATCAAGCCCTCGTACCCTCAACTCAAGCCCTCATGCCTTTGTATCACTCTCCTGTTTGTCCCCACCCACCCCACCCGTCCATGGTCCACCTTTTCAGAACGTGGCCCACTCACTCGCGATGCTAATCAACTTCTGAGTGAATAGTATCCATCATCGCTCTGAGTGGGCAGACGGCACCCATTGACTTGACTTAGCCCCTCATTCTTTCTCCCTTCCCTCCCTCCCCTCCTGCCCCTAACCCCCTCCCGCACACCCCTCCTCCACTGTTCAGAACGTCTCGCCGATGCTGCTGATCAAGTTGTTGCGCCACCATCGCTCTGAATGGGCGGACGGCACTATCGACTTGACTTTGAACCCCCATCCCCCACTCCTGCCAAACCCCACCCTCCCCCAAACCCCCACCCACCCCACCTTAAAAAAAAAAAAAAAAAAAAAAAAAAAAAAAAAAAAAAAAAAAAATCCTTCTCTCCCGCCCCTACTCTGCGCCTACACCCCTCCCCGACCCCTCCCCCCTCCCCAGAACGTGTCCCCGGTGCTGCTAATCAAGTTCCTTCGTCACCATCGCTCCGAGTGGGCAGACGGCACCATTCACCTGACTTAGCCCCTCGTTCCCTCACCCTTCTCTCCCGCCCCTACTCTGCACCTACACCCCTCCCCGACCCCTCCCCCCTCCCCAGAACGTGTCCCCAGTGCTGCTGATCAAGTTCCTGCGTCACCATCGCTCCGAGTGGGCAGACGGCACCATTCACCTGACTTAGCCCCTCGTTCCCTCTCCCTTCTCTCCCGCCCCTACTCTGCGCCTACACCCCTCCCTGACCCCTCCCCCCTCCCCAGAACGTGTCCCCGGTGCTGCTGATCAAGTTCCTGCGTCACCATCGCTCCGAGTGGGCAGACGGCACGATCGACGCCGACTCAGCAGCAGCGGTTCAGGCCACCATGGGTGCTCGCGCTGCTGCTGCCGGCGCGGGGAAAGTGCCTCTACCCCTCGCCTATGCTGTGGATCAGGAAGAGGTGAGATCGTGTGTGTGTGTGTGGCGGTGTGAGCGGGTGGGCTGGCTGGTATGGTGGGTTCAGCAGCAGAGGTGCAGGCCACCATGGGTGCTCGCGCTGCTGCTGCTGGAGGGACCGGGAAAGTGCCACTGCCACTCGCCTATGCTGTTGACCAGGAAGAGGTACGAGTGTGTGTGTGAGCGCGTGGGCTGGCTGGTATGGTGAGTTCAGCAGCAGCAGCACGTGGGCCAAGTCGCGCGCGTGGACCAAGTCGCGTGCGTGGACCAAGGCGCGTGCGTGGACCAAGTCGCGTGCGTGGACCAAGTCGCGCGAGTGGACCAAGGCGCGTGCGTGGACCAAGTCGCGTGCGTGGACCAAGTCGCGCGAGTGGACCAAGGCGCGTGCGTGGACCAAGTCGCGTGCGTGGACCAAGGCGCGTGCGTGGACCAAGGCGCGTGCGTGGACCAAGTCGCGTGCGTGGACCAAGTCGCGTGCGTGGACCAAGTCGCGCGAGTGGACCAAGGCGCGTGCGTGGACCAAGTCGCGTGCGTGGACCAAGGCGCGTGCGTGGACCAAGGCGCGTGCGTGGACCAAGTCGCGTGCGTGGACCAAGGCGCGTGCGTGGACCAAGGCGCGTGCGTGGACCAAGTCGCGTGCGTGGACCAAGTCGCGTGTGTGGACCAAGGCGCGCGTGCGGACCAAGACGCGCGCGCGGACCAAGTCGAGCCAGCTGCTGCCACACGAGGCATGGCTCTCACTTTCTCGTGCTCCCTCTTCCCCCACTCCCTGCACGCACCCCTCCCCTCCCCTCCCCGCTGTCCCCACTGTCCCCCCATCAGTTTCTCGAGCTCGTGAAGCTCGAGCCAGCTTCTGCCACACGGGGGATGGCAGGAGCGAGGGAAACGTTTCTGCTGCAGGTGAGGCTTTTCCTAGGGGTGTTGGTGGGTGCTGCGGGTGGGTGGGTGCTGCAGGTGGGTGGGTGCTGCGGGTGAGGCTTTTCCTAGGGGTGTTGGTGGGTGGGTGCTGCAGGTGAGGCTTTTCCTAGGGGTGTTGGTGGGTGCTGCGGGTGGGTGGGTGCTGCAGGTGGGTGGGTGCTGCGGGTGGGTGGGTGCTGCAGGTGGGTGGGTGCTGCAGGTGGGTGGGTGCTGCAGGTGGGTGGGTGCTGCAGGTGGGTGGGTGCTGCGGGTGGGTGGGTGCTGCAGGTGGGTGGGTGCTGCAGGTGGGTGGGTGGGTGCTGCAGGTGGGTGGGTGCTGCAGGTGGGTGGGTGCTGCGGGTGGGTGGGTGGGTGCTGCAGGTGGGTGGGTGCTGCAGGTGGGTGGGTGCTGCAGGTGGGTGGGTGCTGCGGGTGGGTGGGTGGGTGCTGCAGGTGGGTGGGTGCTGCAGGTGGGTGGGTGGGTGCTGCAGGTGGGTGGGTGCTGCAGGTGGGTGGGTGGGTGCTGCAGGTGGGTGGGTGCTGCAGGTGGGTGGGTGGGTGCTGCAGGTGGGTGGGTGCTGCAGGTGGGTGGGTGGGTGCTGCAGGTGGGTGGGTGCTGCAGGTGGGTGGGTGCTGCGGGTGGGTGGGTGGGTGCTGCAGGTGGGTGGGTGCTGCAGGTGGGTGGGTGCTGCGGGTGGGTGGGTGGGTGCTGCAGGTGGGTGGGTGCTGCAGGTGGGTGGGTGCTGCAGGTGGGTGGGTGCTGCGGGTGGGTGGGTGGGTGCTGCAGGTGGGTGGGTGCTGCAGGTGGGTGGGTGGGTGCTGCAGGTGGGTGGGTGCTGCAGGTGGGTGGGTGGGTGCTGCAGGTGGGTGGGTGCTGCAGGTGGGTGGGTGGGTGCTGCAGGTGGGTGGGTGCTGCAGGTGGGTGGGTGGGTGCTGCAGGTGGGTGGGTGCTGCAGGTGGGTGGGTGCTGCAGGTGGGTGGGTGCTGCGGGTGGGTGGGTGGGTGCTGCAGGTGGGTGGGTGCTGCAGGTGGGTGGGTGGTGCTGCAGGTGGGTGGGTGGGTGCTGCAGGTGGGTGGGTGCTGCAGGTGGGTGGGTGGGTGCTGCAGGTGGGTGGGTGCTGCAGGTGGGTGGGTGGGTGCTGCAGGTGGGTGGGTGGGTGCTGCAGGTGGGTGGGTGCTGCAGGTGGGTGGGTGGGTGCTGCCGGTGGGTGGGTGCTGCGGGTGGGTGGGTGCTGCAGGTGGGTGGGTGCTGCGGGTGGGTGGGTGCTGCAGGTGGGTGGGTGCTGCAGGTGGGTGGGTGGGTGCTGCAGGTGGGTGGGTGCTGCAGGTGGGTGGGTGGGTGCTGCAGGTGGGTGGGTGCTGCAGGTGGGTGGGTGCTGCGGGTGGGTGGGTGGGTGCTGCAGGTGGGTGGGTGCTGCAGGTGGGTGGGTGCTGCAGGTGGGTGGGTGCTGCGGGTGGGTGGGTGGGTGCTGCAGGTGGGTGGGTGCTGCAGGTGGGTGGGTGCTGCAGGTGGGTGGGTGCTGCGGGTGGGTGGGTGGGTGCTGCAGGTGGGTGGGTGCTGCAGGTGGGTGGGTGGGTGCTGCAGGTGGGTGGGTGCTGCAGGTGGGTGGGTGGGTGCTGCAGGTGGGTGGGTGCTGCAGGTGGGTGGGTGGGTGCTGCAGGTGGGTGGGTGCTGCAGGTGGGTGGGTGGGTGCTGCAGGTGGGTGGGTGCTGCAGGTGGGTGGGTGCTGCAGGTGGGTGGGTGGGTGCTGCAGGTGGGTGGGTGCTGCAGGTGGGTGGGTGGGTGCTGCAGGTGGGTGGGTGCTGCGGGTGGGTGGGTGCTGCAGGTGGGTGGGTGCTGCGGGTGGGTGGGTGCTGCAGGTGGGTGGGTGGGTGCTGCAGGTGGGTGGGTGCTGCGGTGCGGGTGGGTGGGTGCTGCAGGTGGGTGGGTGGGTGCTGCAGGTGGGTGGGTGCTGCGGTGCGGGTGGGTGGGTGCTGCTGGTGAGTGGGTGCTGCAGGTGGGCGGGTGGGGTGACAGAGTCGTTTCTACTCTTGCTAGACGATTACATCCCTCCAACCACTCCACATCAGCATCCACCGTTGCCTCTCCTTGCCTGCCTGCCTGCACCCACTCCCACACCCCTTCCCCCACACCTGTGCCAGTCTCCTCCTCTACCCCTCCTCTCCCCTCTTGTCCCGCTTTTCACAACTCCTCTCGTCTCAATTCCGTTTTGCATATCTCAAGTCTCCGCTTTCCCCCTTGCACTCACCCTTCTCCCCACCCACCCCGCTTTCCTACCCAGCCTCCCTTCTTCCCCCTCCTCAATGCTTTCCCCTCCCCATAATCCCCCATTCTCCCTTACTCCCCCCTCCCTCCTCTCCACTCCCCTTACTCTCCCCTCCTCATATTCCCCCTTCCCCCCTCCACTCTCCCTCTCCCCTTCCCCTCCCCGCCATCCCCCGTCCCCTCTTCCCCCCCTCCCCCCCCCCCCTCTCCCCTCCTTCCCCCATGTCCCTTCCCACTCCCCGCCTGTGATTCGCAGCTCTGCAGCGGCATCGAGGATGACAGCACGTCTGGCTCCACGTCAGCATCATCTGCCACGTCAGCGCCGCCGCACAGCGCGACAGCTCAGCTGGTCTTTGCCCCCGTGGACGCAGCATCCACAGCTGACACCGTCCCGCTGCTGCCATCTGGCTTCCGAGTCATCCCGCTCTCCCTGCCGCCCTCCCAGGTAGATAGATATCGTTTTGGTCACTGCTACCCTCCCAGGTATGTTCTTTTTGGGTCAGTGCAGCAGCTGCTGCTGCAGCCATTCGTAAGTCAACTAAGAATTTCCAAACCCCTTCTCTGCTCAACCTCCCAATCCAATCATCGCAGGACGGGCAAACCCTAGACCTGGCAGCATCACTGGACAAGCAGTCGCAGCCATCCCAGCAGCAGCAGCTGCGCTCAGTGCTCACCATCGCCTTCCAGTTTGTGTTTGACTGCCCAGCCGCCAAGGAGGGGGTAGCCAACACAGCCAGGCAGTATGTGCGGTCAGTGGTGGGGGCCATTCAGCGGATCTCCATGAGCCTTTCCCCCCCGCAGCAGCAGCAGCAGCTGCCGCTGCAGATGATGCAGCAGATGCAGCAACAGCAACAACAGCAACAGCAGCAACAGCAGCAGCAACAGCAGCAGCAGCAACAGCAGCAGCAACAGCAGCAACAGCAGCAGCAACAGCAGCAACAGCAGCAGCAACAGCACCAGCAGCAGATGCAGCAAATGCTGCAGCAGCAGCAGCAACAACAGCAGCAGATGATGATGATGATGCAGGTCGATGGGCCGCAAATGCAATTTCAGTCTGCCCGTTCACAACTGCCTGGCGCAACCACATCAGCCTCTAATCCTGCTGCTACCTCTGCTGCTGCTGCTGCTGCTGCTGCCGCTGCCGCTGCTGCTGCTTTCACCGACCTTCCTTCTTCCCTCACTGCCTCTTCCGCTGCTGCCGCTGCCGCTGCAGCCACGCCTTTGAACCAACAATCACTGCCTGCCTCGTCTAATTTCTTCAATTTCGGGCAGCTGGGAGCTCTCGGCCTGCCCGGAATCTCAACCGGCGGGCAGGCAGCAACAGGAATGGGCAATCAAGGAGCGGGTTCAAGCCTGGGGCTGAATTCAAACCCTGCTGCTGCTGCTGCTGCCACAGCAGGAACAAACAGTGGGGCATTAGGGCTCCCTGGTGCCTCCCTTGCTGGCCTCAACATTCCCGGTCTTGGGGGGCTTTATTTCAATACCCCCGGATTTGGAGGGTTACAATCCAACAACCCCTCGGGTCTCAACGCGTCTGGTCTCAATACATCGGGATTCCCAGGAGGCTTCCCCCCAGGGATGAATGCAGCACTGCTTGCAGGCCCCTCCTCTTCTGCTTCTCCTGCCACTGCTGCTGCCGCTGCTGGTGGTGCTGGCGCTGGTGGTGCCACGAGTGCCGCAGCGTTTTCTGCTCTAGCATCTGGCCTCGGTATTGGTTCTTTCGGCAACATGAACGGGCAAGGAGTCGGCGGTTTGAACGGGCAAGGAGGCCTGATGGGACAAGGAGTGCTGGGGGGGTTAGGAATGGGAGTGGGTTCGCTTGATCCCAATCGCTCCCCCCCTGTCCCTCTCCCCTCCTCTGCTGCTGCTGGTTCCTTTCAAACCGCTGCAGCTGCTGCAGCTAATGCAGCAGCGGCTAATAACGCTGCAGCTGCAGCGGCAGCAGCGGGGAATCTTAGATCTCCTGACGCTCGGCCGCCCGGCATGCCCAACATGGCCGGACGGCACCATCCGTCTGCATCTGGCGCTGCTACAGTCGCTACAGCTTCTGCCGCTCGGTCTCCCAGTGGTGCTGTAGCAGCCCTGGCAGGAGGTGCGGGAGACGTTTCCGGGCCTAGCCGCGTGGTTGGCGACGGTTCCGGACCTAACCGTTTGGGCGGGGAGGGTTCGGCTGTGTTGGGGGTGATAGGCATGGGAATGGGGATTGGAGGAGGATTGGGAGAGGTGAAAGGGGGAGGAACGGGGGGAGGGGGAGGGGTGGGAGGGGGTGGGGAGAACGGACGAGGTCTAGGAGACTCTATGGTTCTTGGGGGGCTGGGATCCTTAGGAAGAGGAGTAGGTGGAGGGTTTGGGGGAGGGGGAGGAGCGGGGGGAGGGGGCGCAGGGGGAGGGGGCGGTGGGGGTGGTAGCATTGGTGGGCCGACTTCGAGTGGGGGTGGTGGCAATGGCGGTGGTGGGGGAGGGGGAGGAGGGGGAGGCGGTTCGCATGCCATGCAACTGGCGAGATGGATCGTGCAGAGCTACAAGTGAGTGCCCTGATGACTTGTCTCTCTGTCCGCCTGTATATATTTTCGAGGCACCTCAAAAGTCGCATGCCATGCAACTGGCGAGATGAATTGTGTAGAGCTACAAGTGAGTGCCCTCATGACTATGAGAGAATTCTTCCTTGTCTCTCTGCCTGCCTGCCTGCCCTCCTGTTAGTTCGTCCGCCTGTCGATCCCCATCCATTTGTCTGTCCGCCTCCTTCCCCACCCTCCCCACCCACCATGGCAGGGTGGCAGTGGGTTCCGACCTGTCGCCAGCAGCAGGGGCAGCGCTAGCAGGGGGGGACTTGTCGCGCCTGCTGAGAGTGCTGTGGGAGCACCGCGATGCCATCATATGCATCGCCTGGCGGGTATGTATCGCTTCTTCTTTCTGCAGGCTCTCTCATTGCTTCCCTCTCCAATCCCTCTCGCCCTCCCTCACTGTTGAGAGTGCTGTGGGAGCACTGCGATGCCATCATATGCATCGCCTGGCGGGTACGTTTCACTTTTAGCATCCACTCTAGAGCCTCTCTCGCTTCCTCCCTCACTCTGTCGTTGCCTGCTGAGGGTGTTGTGGGAGCACCGCGATGCCATCATATGCATCGCCTGGCGGGTACGTCTCACTTAGTGCAGCTCATTTTCGTTCATTTGGTAGGATTCAGCCTGGTGTGCAATGGTTGAAGGCGGTGGAAGACGAAAGTTGTTCCTCGACGTTTTGTAACGGATTGAACTGCGCCAAACAAACTCTGAACGAATATCTATAACTCGCCCTTGAGATCTTCTCACCCATCAAAACTTCTTTTTTGCCAGAGGCTACCCCTCCCCTCAATCCTTTCTTCAGTTATCCTTCTCACTCCTCTTCCCTCTCGAATCCCATCTTGCTTGCACTTTGCTCAACCGTATAGGCATAGCCTGCTCCTTTCCATGCTGTTTTTGTTCCCATTCCTGCCCTTTCTCTTCCCTTCCCTACCCATCCCATGCCTGACCTTTCCCATGCTTGCCCATGGGACTGCACACAGGCATCGCCAGAGCTGCTCCTAGCAAACCAATCAGGGCTGGACATGCTTGCCACGTCAGCAGCTGACCTGTCCAAGGTGCCGTGGGAGAAGACCATGGCTGACGAGGACGCCCGCTGCACTGCTGTCGCTGCCATGTCACAAGCCATACAGCAGGTAAGCTGCCATGTCAGCAGTCGTGTGGCAGGTGTGGTGCCATGTCAGCAGCCATACAGCATGTACGGTGATCAGGGGCTGGAAAGGATAACATATCTAGTGTTTTTATTCCACAGGCCTACCTCTTTCGTTCCTTCTTGTCCGATCTCGTCTACTCTTCCCTACTCCCACTCCCAATTCATTTTGCTTGTTCTCCACTTGTGCTATTGCATGTCTGCATTCTCCGTTTTTCATGTATAGGTTCCCATTGCAAATCTTCACCCTCATGCAACTCACAAAAGCCTTACAACACTTTCCGTGTCTTTTTTTTTTTTTTTTCACAGGGATTCGCCTACCTTCCTCCGGGTGTTCGGCTCTCTTCACAAGGTCGTTTGGCCGCATATGAAAAGGGGGTGGTGTGGCGGGTCGTCGATGATTACGGCTCCATTCACTGTATAGCATTTATGCATATTAACTGGTGCTTTCTTAGGTGAAGCGCTTACATCCAATGGTTAATTGCTTAAATGCCTGGTTAGAAAGCCAGCTGTAGTGTATGATGTGTTGTGTTAGGTGTAAATAGCCTATATGAGGTTTTCCTTTCAAACAGTGCGCTTCTATGGGCCAAAGCAAGGCTCCAGTGTCTTTGTCTTATATCGCGGACTAATTTGATCATGCAATTCACTCCACTGTCCACCATCCCTTCGCCTTCCTCCAGCCACCTCCTCCATCCATCCATTCATTTTCAATTCCACTGCACCACCACTCCGCGTTGTAGCTGTCCCACCGTTGTGTTTGCGCGTTGTAGCGTCACTCTGGTTCTTGCTGACACATCCAGTTCCGAACTTAGCTTATGACTCGTTTGTCGTAGCCACTTCCATTAAAACGACGTCTTCTTGGCATTTCGGCTCGTGCCGCGCTAGCCTACTCTCGTCTTCTGTTACCCCTCTCGCTTAAGCTTGCGAACTAGCTGCTGCACTTTTGTATCTCTTATCCAGAGCTGAGCTCAGGTATCCTTAAGTGTCAGCCATGGGGAACCAGGAAAAGCTTATGGACCAGATTTTCCAGCTTAAGTTCACATCAAAGACGCTAGTCCGTCAAGCGAAGAAGTGCGAGAAGGAGGAGAAGGAGCAGAAGCTTAAGGTCAAGAAAGCCATCGAAAAGGGCAACATGGAAGGCGGCAAGATTTACGCTCAGAACGCCATTCGGAAACGCTCCGAGCAGCTGAATTACCTCCGCTTATCCAACCGCTTAGACGCGGTTATCGCGCGCCTGGACACGCAAGCTCGTATGAACACCATTACGACTTCCATGGGAAGCATCGTGAAGGTTTTAGATTCCGCGCTCGCGAGCAGCAACCTGCAGAAGATTTCGGAAACGATGGACACGTTCGAACGGCAGTTCGTGAACATGGAGGTGCAGTCGCAGTTCGTGGAAAACGCGATGCACAGCAGCACGGCGTTGTCGACGCCGGAGGAGGACGTCAACATGCTCATGCAACAGGTCAGTCGGATTTTTTTTCCGTCAAATTTTCAGTCAGATGTGGTGCCAAAATATGCCGCTCTCTGCATCCGAGGGGCCTCAACACGAAACATTGGAGGGCGACATCAACACATTCACGTAACAGGTCAGTAAAGCGGAAGGTTCCACTTTATTGGTTGAATATATATAGTCGTCTCTCAACAACGACATGGGAGGCTGCCATAGTCAATTAATCAACAGGTACTTGAAAATTTGATGCCTGATTCCATTCATGCTTATGTCCCACTTTTTTTCTTTTACCTTTCTTGTGCAATGTCACTTGGGCTGCTGGTGCGGATAAGCTCGTGCTGCCATTAAATTGTGGTTTCTTCACAATAAAATGTCTTTCGGGCTTCCACTCATGCACAGTGCTTGGTGTGTCGTTGTTTAAGAGCTTAGTTGCACCTCAACTGTCATTTGCCAATCCCTGTATTCCAATATGCCAGGTGGCAGACGAACATGGATTGGAGGTGCAGATCGGTCTACCAGGTGCTGCCACGAGTGCTTTGCCATCCAGAGAAGCTCAGACCAATGCTGAGGACGACTTGACAAGGCGATTGGCGGAACTGAAGAACAGGTCATAAAAGTGTACAGAACTTTGCAGGAGGGAGGTTCATGAAGGGAGACGATGTGGCAAATTTTAGCAAACCTGTGACAAATGGTTGGGTACATGACGTGTATTCAGTCCAGGCAGCCATGCGTTTCCCATCCTTTCCTCATTGCATGCATCCCTGTCTCTGACAATGGTAGTTCTCCTCCGATGTTTTCCCTGCCTCAACCTGTAAATGTGGTTTTTATCTCACCGTATGTTTCTAGTTTGCTGTTGGTATGGGGCTGCATTGCACGCTGTATTTGCCTTGAGATAGGATGCATAGTACAGAAGCTGATTGTCTATTTCTGACTTGAAAGTGTACATAAAATCGTTTTTGGTAACATGGTTTGGGAGTAAATACCGTGATCTCCCGGTTACAAGACCCCCCCGCATAAAAGCCCCGTGGGTCTTCTATCCGGACCAGGGGTCTTTTATTAAGTCAGTCCTGGAGAGGACCCGTCTTTTGACCCAAATCATTATAAGACCCCCCCTTAGGCTATAATGAGTGGTGTTAGTTCATGAGCTGGTTAGCGAGTCACACAAAAAACCACCAAATTCACTTTGTCAGGCGAATTTGTGGTCAAGGGAGTCAAGATGCTACATCAATCACGCGTTTTTGCCGCCCTTCAGGCAACAGATGCTGACGTGCCTGTCATTATTAGGCATTTCTGAACGTGCGGAAAGGAATCTGGGAGATTCGAGTGCGAGAATCTGAGAATGAATTTCCGCGCTGTGAAGGAATCCGAAATTCAGTACAGAAATTTCGAATTTCTTCAACACTGCACTACAAAATCCATTTTTCAGTAATTAATAGATGTCCAGGGGTCTTATGCACTTCATGTCATTACATAAGACCCCACAACCCAGTTCGAGCACATTTAGGATAAGACCCCCGGGTCTTCTAGGCGGGAGATCACGGTAGCAGAAAACCGGATTTTACGCGATCTGTGGTGGAAATAAGGAACCGGTACGGTACGTAGGGCATTTTACTGGTAATTCTCTCATTCTCTCATGCGATTGTGAGAAGAAGAAAAAAAAAAAAAAAAAAAAAAACACACACACACACACACACACACGAGATCTTTTTTATGCAACCATTATATAGAATTACACACACTTGACCACTGTAATTTGTACGTTTTTTTTCGTAGCATCAGATGACCTCTTCGCAACCGTCGTTCGACTGCACGGGATACCAGCCGCAATCATCAGCGACCACGACACGAAGTTTACCAACATCTTATGGAAGAACCTATGGGAGCAATTCGGGACCAGGCTAAGGTTCAGCTCGTCGTACCACCCCGAGACCGACGGTCAAACGGAGCGGACGAATCAGACGATGGAGCAGTTGATTCGTGCCACGTGCGACAACCTGACAACTTGGGAGCAGCAACTGCCGCTGATCGAGCTCGCCTACAGCAACGCCACGTCAGCGACGACGCAGCAGTCCCCGTTTAACCTGAACTACCGGCAAAATCCAACAGTGCCCATCACGCCGAGTCCGGACAACCCAACGCCACGCGCACAGCAGTTCGCCGGGATTCTGCAAGCTGCCCGCACCAGAGCCGCAGAAGCAATTAAAAAAGCCAACGTCATCGCAAAACCAAATGCTGACCGCCACCGCCGCCCAGTCACGTACCAATCAGGGGATTACGTACTGCTCGACACACCGAACTTAATACTGCCCGTCGTACCGAAATTACGACCGCGCTACTGTGGACCATTCCAAATCAGCCACATCATCACCCAAGTTACTGCCCATTTACTGTTGCCGACAGAATAGTACATTAGCCCATCATTCCACGTCAGCCTACTTCGCCCTTACATTCCAACCACAAGCCAACTGCCTCGTCACCGCCCGCCATCCATGACTCGCCCTGCATCGGAGCCGATCATTGAGTCTGAGAAGATTGTGAGCCATCGGATTCGACACCCCACAGGTATCAAGAGGATCGAGTTCCTCGTTCGCTGGAAGGACCGCACGCCAACTGAATGTCAAAGTACAATCTTACTTGTAGGCTATAGTGGGGCACTCCTTGTGGGGTACAACACTTCTAGGGTTAGTACTTATACCCCAACTCTTGCTAATCCAATTATTCCTGCACAGTTATTCTGACATGGTATTCAGAGCAGGAAACCTGTTAAGTAGTTAGGGCCCACCGATAGTTTCGCTTGTTCCTGCCCAAAGCGCCCTTGCGCTGTCCGGCCCTGCTCGCACAGTGTCGCGCTGCCCTGCAGCTACTCGCACCGCCTGCCCCCCCCCCCCCCCCCCCCCCCCTCGCACGTCGCGCCCTGCTGCAGCCCGCGTGTCGCGCTCTGCTGTTCCGCGCCTCACGCCCTGTTGCAGCCTGCACGTCGCGCCCTACTGCCTTGCGCGTCGCGCACTCCTGCAGCCAACGAGTCACGCCCTACTGCAGCCAGCGCGTCGCGCTCAGCTGCCCTGCGCGTCGCGCTCAGCTGCCCTGCGCATCGCGCCCTACTGCAGCCAGCGCGTCGCGCCCTGCTGCCCTGCGCGTCGCGCCCTGCTGCAGCCAGCGCGTCGCGCCCTGCTGCAGCCAGCGCGTCGCGCTCTGCTGCACCTCGCATCGCGCTCTGCTGCAGCCAGCGCGTCGCGCCCTACTGCAGCCAGCGCGTCGCGCTCTGCTGCCCCACACGTCGCGCCCTGCTGCCCTGCACAGCGCTCGCCCTGCTGCCCTACCCACCGCGCGCCCTGTCCTGCAGCCAGCGGTGCGCCCTACCCGGTCGAGCCGCGCCGCCCAGCCCGAGCCGTCCTGCCCAACCCGAGCCGCGCCGCCCTACCTTGATCACCAGCCCCACCGAGCTGCCCTGCTGCCACTACTGCTGCTGCTGCTTCTCGTGCTACTGCTGCTACTGGTGGAGGTGCTGCTGGGAGTTCTAGGAGTGCTGCTGGTGCTGGGGGTGCTGGAGGTGCGACTGGGAGTGCTGGAGGTGCTGCTGGTGCCGGACGTGCGACTGGGAGTGCTGGAGGTGCTGATGGTGCCGGAGGTGCTGGACCTACTACTGACCGTCACTGCCTGTCATGGCCACTATCACGGTAGTTGCAGCGGCTAGGGGTGGACAGCGGCGGTCACTGCCTCTCCCGGACGACCCCACCCCTCAGCAGCTTCGCGAGTGGGTTCTTCAGCGAGCCCGTCCATGTGGTGGAGGCTTTGGTTTTCTACATACTGCACCGAGGCGGCAGTAGAGTTAGCAGGAGACCTTCTCCCCTCAGGGGCTTAGTGAGTTGTTTCCTCAACGATGTGTCACTGGTTCTGTCGAGGCTGCTGCACTAGGTGCTAGTGAGTCTGCTGCCGCACTAGGTGCTAGTGAGTGTGCTGCAGCTTTAGGTGCTCGTGCGTCTCCCACCATAGGTCCTTCCTCAACTGAGGCCTTGCACACTTTCACACTTGACTCAGGTGCGTCACGTTGCTTCTTTCGTGACTTCACCACAATCACACCACTTGCTGCACCGGTACCGGTCTCACTGGCCAACCCCACTGGGGGCCCAGTAGTCGCACGAGCCTCCACTGTCCAGCAGTCCCCTCCGGTTCTCTGTCACGTCTCCACCTCCCCACGTTCTCGACGAACTTGGTGAGCAACGCTGCCATTCAGGATGTCTGGGTTGATACCTTTATTCCTGGAGGGCAAGGTGTGGCGATCTGTACGTGCTCCCGGACTGGCCGTCACCTGGCTACGTTCACTCGACGACCTGGGTCTAGTCTGTACACACTGACCACTAAGTCTGCACAGGTGGCTAAGGCAGGTCAGGTGGCTGCGTCGAGTCAGGTGTCTGCGTCTGGTCAGCTTGCAGCGTCTTGCTCGTGTTGGGTACTCTCCCACCAGACTCTCCTCTGGCACCACCGCCTTGGTCACCCCTCCCTACCGCGTCTCCGCGATATGCACTCCCGTCTCCTTGTCTCTGGCCTTCCCAAGTCCCTGCCCTCCCTCCCGCGCTCGCCTGCCCCGCCGTGCCTTCCCTGTGTCGAGGGGCGGCAGCGCGCCGCTCCTCACTCCTCCGAGTTTCCTCCGACCACTGCTCCTCTGTAAACTCTCCACATGGACGTTTGGGGCCCAACCCCCGTCGGTGGAACGGACCAGGAGCGCTACTTCCTGCTGGTTGTTGACGACTACACACGTTACACCACCGTCTTCCCCTTGCGGCGCAAGGCGGACGTCAGCGGTGTTTTGATCCCCTGGATCCATGCTACTCGTCACCAGCTGTGCGAGCGGTTTAGTCGGAACTTCCCGGTCCTGCGTCTACACTCTGACGGGGGCGGTAAGTTCTCTTCTGACCTCCTTGCGGAGTTCTGTCGAGACGAGGGCATCCTACAGTCGTTCACGCTTCCGGCCTCTCCTCAACAAAATGGGATTGCTGAGCGTTGCATTGGCTTGATCATGGAGGTTGCTCGTACCTCGATGATCCATGCGGCGGCTCCCCATTTTCTGTGGCCGTTTGTGGTCCGATACGCTGCGCATCAGCTCAACCTCTGGCCCCGTGCCTCTGAGCCAGAGACCTCGCCCACACTCCGGTGGACGGGGAAGGTGTCAGAACTAGCAGTAGAAAGTAAGAATGAAGAAAGGAGGAGGTTGCACTAGCAAGCAGTTGAGTACATATAGGAAACCCTAGATTGGGCTGTACTCGCTATAGAGTACCCCACTGCAGGCTAGACAAATACAACATTCTGACACACCCCCATAGCCAAAGTGGGGTGTAATCAGCACAATGAGCAGGTATAGCAGGAGTTCACAATAAGAAGCAAAGCTAGAGGTAATCACAGCGGGCAAGTGAGGAGGAGGAGGGACTGTGAGAGGAGAGAAGATGAGAGACGGCGGCTGAAGCTGCAGACACACGGGCAACAGGAGCTGCTGGCACAGTGGCTACCGGGACAGTGCGCCCCGGACTACTGGAGTAACTGGCTCACGGGCTACGAGGAGCTACAGGAGCAACGGACCCACGGGCGACAGGCGCAGCAGACTCTCTGGGCTACCAGG